TATGCAAGACATGGGTTTCAGCTGTCGCATTCCTTGTGTCAAGCCACTCTTGAACAAGACACAGCGTCAGAAGCGTCTCGCCTGGGCTAAAGACAAAAAGGACTGGACTGCTGCTGAGTGGTCCAAAGTTATGTTCTCTGTTGAAAGTAAATTTTGCATTTCCTTTGGAAATCAAGGTCCCAGAGTCTGGAGGAAGAGAGGAGAGGCACAGAATCCACGTTGCTTGAAGTCCAGTGTAAAGTTTCCACAGTCAGTGATGGTTTGGGGTGCCATGTCATCTGCTGGTGTTGATCCACTGTGTTTTCTGAGGTCCAAGGTCAACTCAGCCGTCTACCAGGAAGTTTTAGAGCACTTCATGCTTCCTGCTGCTGACCAACTTTATGGAGATGCAGATTTCATTTTCCAACAGGACTGGGCACCTGCACACAGTGCCAAAGCTACCAGTACCTGGTTTAAGGACCATGGTATCCCTGTTCTTAATTGGCCAGCAAACTCGCCTGACCTTAACCCTATAGAAAATCTATGGGGTATTGTGAAGAGGAAGATGCGATACGCCAGACCCAACAATGCAGAAGAGCTGAAGGCCACTATCAGAGCAACCTGGGCTCTCATAACACCTGAGCAGTGCCACAGACTGATGGACTCCATGCCACGCCGCATTGCTGCAGTAATTCAGGCAAAAGGAGCCCCAACTAAGTATTGAGTGCTGTACATGCTCATACTTTTCATGTTCATACTTTTCAGTTGGCCAACATTTCTAAAAATCCTTTTTTTGTATTGGTCTTAAGCAATATTCTAATTTTCAGAGATACTGAATTTGGGATTTTCATTAGTTGTCAGTTTTAATCATCACAATTAAATGAAATAAACATTTGAAATATATCAGTCTGTGAGGAATGAATGAATATAATATCCAAGTTTCAATTTTTTAAATGGAATTACGGAAATAAATCAACTTTTTGATGATATTCTCATTATATGACCAGCACCTGTATATACACACCTGTTCATTTGCCGTTGTTGGAGTGTGAAGCTCGACGCAGGTCCAAGAAGATGTGCTTCTTAGCTTGCACCTCGTCCTCCCCGTCCTGCCTCTCCTTCCTCGGACCCTGGCAGCCCTGCCTCCTCTGCTTCGCCTTGACTCCGGTCCTGGCCCGATCTGTGCTTGGCTCTGGAATGCAGTCCTCATCAGAATCAGAATCATAATCAGCTTTATTGCCAGGTATGTGTACACATATGAGGAATTTGACTCAGGATTGTACATTGCTCACGATGTGCTTACTTATCGAATAATAAAATAATAATATAATAATAATAAAATAAAATCAGACACAAACTACAGAGTGGACAATACTAATATACACACTATGAACAAAACAATACAGACATATTGACAAATAGTGCAGTGATCAGAGTGCAAAGGATGCAGGAGTAAACGATTCTCATTATGTACATGTTGAAGGTGGATAGGATATACAGGTACACATACACATACATGCATACATGTACACATGTACACAGTGTGATGGAGCAAAGGATGCTGGAAAAAATAAATGCTGTCACCGTGGAATCTCTAAAATGCAAAACAACGTACATGTTATAAGTCTAACACGAAGTTCACGTTCATGTAGTGTAACTGATGGTAACGAGAAAATGTGTATCAGCCTGTTTTTAGCTTTGCCCAATGTTACCGCATCTGTTAGCACAGCTACCTGTTGCTAACAGTTAGCTAGACAGCTCGTTACTTAATCAAATTCAGTCTTTTTAAACCTATCCAATAATAACACGCTAGCTTGATAGTGAGTACTAACACTTCATAATGATAAAGTTAGATGTTTTCTTACCCCTGATGTGATCCGCTGCTCTCCACTCGTCACACTGTGCTCATCCTCCAGCGTTGTCGGCAATGCGTGTTTTGGGGGGCGTGGCTTTGGAAGGAGCACAGAAGGGAGGGGGTGGGAGTTTCTCTGTTGGATACTTTCAAAATCCAGCACTTTCTTGCTAGTTTCTCAAACTTACCTACCCTGCCTTTAATGAATGATAATGCACAATATCACATGAGTACTGTAGATAACTGTTGTTGTGAATTGGCGCTATATAAATAAAATTGAATTGAATAAAGTTCTGGAATTCTCCTATATTAGTTTTAGACGTTTATTTAACATTAATGAAGTCTTGCTCATTTCATATTGAATGAAATTAAGACCATAAGCAGCTATTATTGAAAAACTCACTTTTAAACTAGGCTACATTTATTTGTTTCAGCTACACCTTAGTCATCCTCACTCAGAAATATTCACATCATCTCCAACAAAGATTACTGTTCATTGATCAGTTTTAGACAGATTAGTTTAAACAGTGATTACTGCAGTAATGTAGCCCACGGTAAGTGATTCAGTGCAACTGTTGCCAACCTGACAGCTGCCTTAATGTCCACAGAGTCACAGTGTTCTAAAGAAGGACACTGTAGCCTATAGATTTTATTCTGAGCTGAGGATAAATCCACAATGTCCAAATATAACTCTTTGTCCATACATCGATGACAGATTGATCATAAAAGCAGTCATGTTCAAGATCATGTTATATAGTAGCCTATATAACTGGGATTTCGATGTTTCTAAAGACGTAAATGCGTTCAGATATGTACTTTGATATCGACAGTATGAATGAGGAAATGAAATGGTGTGTCAGACAGCCGCCTCAGGCTCAGCAGGAGGGGAGGAGTTAGAGAGAAACTGACGGTTGTCCAACTTATAAGTTAAGTTAAGTTGCCGGAGTTGCTGATCTAGGGTTATCCAATCTCGGTCTCTGAAACAGAAAACCCAGAGTTTCCCTCATCTCAGGCTTAACATACTCATAGCATAATTTCCACTAATCCCGCTTTCTGTAACAGGGCCCTGGTGTAAATGTGTCAGGTTATATAATCAGGAGATGATGACTTGTCATTTCATCACAAATAAATGTGTGTATGTACACTTCTTTACCTTTACCTGAGGAAGACCAACTGAAATAATTCTAGACTTGGGGAAAGACCCATTGTTTTACTCACTAAGTTACTCACTACTCAAGTCATTTTTTAGTAGATACTTTTGTACTCTTACTCATGTGGATGACCACTTTTACTTCTACTTTAGTACTTCTACTTTTACTTGAGTACATCTTTGGGCTACTCTACCCACCTCTGTCTTATTGGAAACTGAATTGTGTGGTGGCTGAGGACCTTTGCCCCATGATTCTTGTCTTATCTAATAAAGGCAACATTCCAATGCATAAGAACGAATAAATAAGGTAAACACTAAGATGAATTCCTACATCAGGACATGCAACTCAGCCTTCACATGTACATGTAACAGTATGCATAATGCAAAGGTGTTACAATAACATGAAATATAACAGTATGTAGGGAGAACTCGGTGTCCTCACAAACAGAACGAAATAATTGAGGATACATTCAAATCTTTCCAGCCTTATGCTGTCAGTCATCCATAAGATGAATTGGATCTGTAATGTGCCGCCGTTAAATTCACATCAGCAATGAATCTTTATCTCTTCAGCATTCTCAAACAGCCGGAAGGCTGGAGTTCCCTCAGAGGAAAAACTGGTTTCACCTGATGAAATGGTTAGAAAGGTGATAAATCTACACTCTCTCTCTCTCTTGCTCTCTCTCTTCCCATACACACACAAACACACACTGACAGAGCACGACCAGAACCTGCAGGCGGCCTGAAGTGAGTGGAGACTGGGGGATAAATAGGCGACAACTGCTGAGACTGTTTCTGATTGACTGAACAGCAATAAAGACAGATATGAAAGGTTTCTCATGTTACTGTGAGGGGGAGGACAAACTTCCCACTGGTCACTGTTGGTCATACAGGTGCACAGAGCGAGTAAGGAGCCATACTGTACACACACATATGTTGAACTGCACATACAGACACACGCAGAGTCAAACATTGAGCAAGAAGAGTGCGCCCACCCAATCACATTCACCGCTCACACTCACACACTCTTGGCTAGCTCTCTGGCTGCTACACCAGCGTGTCACAGCCAAGGAATGTGGAGTCAACAGCAGACACAAGGAGACAGTGTGACCGTGTGTGTGTGTGTGTGTGTGTGTGTGCATGAGGGAAAGGGAGACAGAGTTAAATACCGCTGGTGACAATTACGTCTCTCCTAAAGGGCTCTTTCTTTCTCACTACAGATGCATTTCACAGCTTCACCTTCAACATCTGTTAGGAATGAGAAGCTTCTGCTGTGTGCAGAAATGAGCACACACACACAAGCACAAAGGCAAAGACACAGAGGAGATGAAGAGATTTTTAGTAGGAATTGTATTTTACATGGAAATTCTTTTTTAAGTCAGTAAAGCTGACTGAAATGAACTGAGAGAAGGGAAAAGGGAGGGGGAAAGAGTTCATGTGTACATGTGTGTGTGTGTGTGAAGGGGGGAGTCATGCAGGGGCAGAATGCACCGAGATATGAGGCAAAATGGAAAGCCACACCAGAGGGACTTGTACCAACGCACAGTTTCCAACAGTCTCATTCCAATTACACACACACACACACACACACACACATAGAAAGAGGTCAAAGCCAGAGCATTGCAACATTACATTATCCATATCATCTCTGTAATACAGACATCATCATTGCTTCTCCAGCATACTGAAACCATCCTCTTATGGATGCAGTTAAAGGTGAGAGCCACATTATTTCACCCCATAGCTCACAGAGCTGCCTGTTTCTGTGGGATTCTAAGATGGAAAGGAAAAGCTGGAGCCCTCACCCTGAACACAAGCATCGGTCTGAAGTTTCAGGAGGACAGAGAAGATGCAGTTCACAGACTGTGTTTCCAATGGTGGTCGTGGTAGCCTACTGTATGATGACCACCGACTTGAGGTCACTCTTCACTCCGCCTCATTTACCACCACATCTCCAGTGACCGAGCTCGTTTTGCTGGTTACCATGCGTAAAAAGAGAGGTCAGCTGCTTTTGGTTACCTTGATAACTGGACAGCAGTCCGGAGCGGCTCCCTGTCGCAGCGGTGACGGCTTTAACTTTTCCTTCTCCCCTCTCTTTAAATCCACAGTGCGTGCAGTGCAGGTGCGGATCCGCTCCCGTGGTGTGCTCGCCTCGGTCGCGCCGTGTCTCCCGTTAAACGCGGTGTGCAGCAGGCAGCCAGCCGGGCGGAGTGAAGGGAGCAAACCGGCAGTGGCTCGGCTGCTACAGCGTCACTGCGAAGGAGAGGAAGATGAGAGGTCTCACTCTGATGGCGAGAGACGACGTGTTCACGTTTCCCAGTCTTACATGGTCGACGCTACCCTGTCGTGCACTGTGGTACAGCACCTGCTCAGCCGCAGATTCTCACTAAGAGAGGGGCATTATTGTTCTATACACATTTAATTATCACCTGAAGTGAATCTCTGCTTCTCAAATATCATAGTTGTTTACAGTGTTGACAGATTTGCATCTTCGTTTCAGATTTGATTAGAGGAAAGATATTTATATATGAGTTGCTCTGTTTCAGTTCTAGTATCTCTTAGAATTCTCTTTCACTGTATATCCAGTGCCAGTAGTGTGTCCTTCATGTAGTGAGGGTGAAGGTGAAGGTGTGAAGGTCAGAGTGTTGGTTGGACGTGTAACATGTCTAACTTCAATGCAGGAGATTGGAGTTTGGAAAAACCACAGTCTTTTCCTAAATATATACATATGAGCAGACTGATATTGTAGAAAGTGAACGTTTAAAAAACACATGGCACTGAATGAAAATAATGTAATCCAGGGCTTTGCTGAGTTATCCTGTATTGACGTTCTTGTCTGGTTATGTAGAGCTGGGCAATAAAACAATCATGATAATTGTGATGATATAATTTTCCCTCAATGACAATATAACAAATGTTCAATAAATATTTTATTAAATTTTGCACACAGACAAATTAGCACTTAATTTTTAGGTTAATATATAATTTATTTTGAAATCAACACAAGCATCTTTATTCAACACTCCTTTTCCATGCTCACAGGGACAGTTGTTATGGTAACAACACATTTTTTAATTAGGGTTATTGGTTGCATTTGAAGCAATAAGTTTTACATCCAATGAAAGTTAGGATGTTAACAAATCAGACAATGCAAAAGCAATTTATTGATATTCCCAAAGTTAGGGTCTTGACTGGTCTTGAAATAAAATCCAGAGTCCTCAATGTCCGAGACCGAGACAAATGCGGTCGAGTCCGAGATGAGACCAAGACCATCAAAAAGTGGTCTTAAGACCGGTCTGGAGTACTGCTATACAAAGAACCCAACAGATAATTAAATGTAGGCTATATTAAAATATCATATAAAATACTAATGAACTAATATACAGTTATTTATAAACACTTAGGCTGAACACATACACCCGGAACATTCTGCATTCTGCAAGGTATTTGAATTGGATTTGCATGATGGGAGAATGTATACCGCAGCAACAACATGATATTATTGTTTCATCTTCATGTAAAAAAGGCAAAGACAGTCCATCTTGACTGTGTTTGAGCAACAAGCATAACTGATGGAAACACAATGGACAATGGACTTTTGTTTGTTCTATTTACTTATGTGTTATACTGCATCTGGAGTAGGGAACTTTCCAAATCAAATGGAGACACTTTTGTGGTAAACAAGAAAGGACTAGTGCCACCATTGGAGGCCCTGAAAAAAAAGTCCGTTGAAATTACATAAAATAATATGTACATCGGTTGCACATATTATATTTATTTTAGTTGAAATTATTCAATTCAATTTAGTATACGGAATTCTTACATGTAAAACCAACATGATTTGATTATGTTCATTCAAAGTTATTTGTTAATGTTAAATTTATTAAATTATTCTGTAAAGACCCAACATCATTTGTTTGTGTTAATTTAACATTTCCCTTTAATGTTTAGTGTATTCAATTATCACTTATTAAAGCAACATGAGATTTTGATGTATATGCAGTGTTGTTCTGTTAAATTAACCTAACCTGCTGAAGTTAGTCTCATAAAGATTCTGCAAACTTTGTGTATAAATTCTACATGCTAAAAGTATTTCTGTACGTTGATTTCTTTTTAATCTTACCTACAGTTTTACTCTTGTAACATACATACACAGAAACATTTCTTTTGAAACTGTATTGTCAAAAAATAGAGTTACTGACAATACTTCAATCAGTTCAATGCAATGTATACTCAGATAAATGCATACATATACAAACCATTCTCACATTAGAACAAAGCACCTTTTCCCTTACATAGACACTTGGTAGACAAGTTATCAAGAGTGCATTGTAAACATTCTGCTACAACCTGAGGCAACACTGTCGGTCATTAAAACACCTTCTGAATGACATCAAACCAGTATCAATAGGGAATTATACAACAGCCAGATTAATGCAGAAATGTCTTGCAAAAGTATGCAAAAAAGTGCACAAAACATCAACTATATTTACAACCTCTTAACAACAACAAAAAAGACAAATGTAATGAAATCATTACACTCTGGTAAATGTAAATCCAGTGCTTGGAAAGTTATTGTGCTCCTTTAACTGCAAGGGTTCTGGAATTAAAGAGTAATAAAATTAAGGAGTAATTGCTTTCCCACCACTACTATATTTTCAGTTACGAATGTGCAAAAAAACAAAATCACATATAGGGGAAACTGTTGGGAGCACTGACAAAGCTGACAGAAAATGAAAGAGATACATTTTGTCACACATGACCCTGAGAGAAATAATCTGCTGAAACAAATACACTATACTTACAGTAAACAAATGCATACATAAAGGCAGCGCAAGTGAGTTGCATAAGGGTCAAAAGTCCATCCTAATAAAAAAAAGCAACGGTAGACAGTGTGTTGCTGTCCAGCTCCATCACAACTTTCTGGAGCACTTTAAAATAGTATTTAAGTTCAGGAGGGTAGTTGAGTTTCAAAGCATACATTAAGCGGAAAACATGGCAGCAGCTAAGGCAACGTTGTCCATATCATGCAGTACCACCTGGCCTTCCAAGACAATCCCATTGTCTTCTGGTCTATCAGTGGCATTCACCATGGTCTCATCAATGGCACCTTGGTTCAGGTCTTTGTCTTCTGCCTGCAGAATGTACAGTCACAAAAGAAGCAATATGAGAGGAAATCAAAAATTAAACACTTAAACCTTAAGCCTATTATGCACTGAAAATATCACACTGAGTATCTGCATTAACTGATAACTGATTCTTGAAATTGTGGCCTGGGCCTTTATTTACCTTAGCAGCAAAAGGGTACCAGGTCTTGTGTAAAGTGAACAGATTGCTATTATAAGTTTATGATAAAAAAATGTTTTGCTCCTGTTTGGAGTTTTTTTATAAAAATATATTAACAGTCTCCAGTTACTCAAGCCCTTGTTGTTTTTTTAATCACTTTTGCACAATGTAACTGTCTACATTAGCATTCATGAACTTTCACATGTGAACAGCTTGGCATTAGGAAATGTAGCCAGTACCAAAGCAATACTCGTACATTTGTTTTATAAAAAGTACACTGTATTTTATGTAACCACACGGAATCTGTCAGTGAATGTTTATGAATTTGACAGTGTCTGTTAAATGGAATATCAAGAGGGCAGCAACTAACAATTCTGTCTTTATTAGTTAATCTAATATTTTCTCAGACTTTGCTTGGGTATATTTGGTGACAAATGTAAACATTTTGCAGAGAAACACAGAGTTGTAATCTATTACTTTTAGGGCTGGACGATTCATCAAAAAGTAATTCCAACCGAATTTCAGATTATTCAGATAATTTCACTTTGAATTAAATTTAATGCCAACTTCACGGTCATATGTATGAAGGATATAATGGAAAATCAGTATGGGTTTTAGAAAATAATTATTTCCCATTAAGAGTTCCCACCCCTCTCCATGGCCTCACATAGTGCCTTAAGAAAGCTTTAATTCCAACAGAAAATGTTGTTAAAAATGATTTAACATTTAGGTCAGGAATAAGGATAAAGTAAGAATCGCTCTAATCAGAGTAAGCAAAGAGCAAAGAGCATGTGCACTGTCATAAAAAAGATAAGATACTGAGGACGTTAGAGGGATATCTATGTATTGTAAATAAGTGCTGATGTGATGAGCAGTTTACCATTCACTAAGCTAAATTAAGAAAGCACAGAACATTCACTTTACTGACTTTATCAAGTGCTGCTTTCTAATCAGTAAGCACAGAGCATGTGCACTGTCATAAAAAAACTGCAGTTACACTTTAGCATGGACTAGCCTAACAACCTTATAAGTTAAGAATGTGGTCAAAGTTAAGTCTGAATTTTTAACATTAACGTTACATTTCTAGAATGATGCTTAACGTTACTGATAAGTGTGAAAGAGCATGTTGAATTTCATTGTGCAGCAGTCTGCAGACCAAGACTACAATAAGCTAACTGTTACGCATTTTGTTCTTAATAGTCCTCTGCAGGTCAGTGACTGTACCTGTTACATGAATGTTCAAACTATAAAAGCACACACTGTGCACACATTGTGTGATTTATTAATACACTTAAAATAAAAGTCACCCTCATTAGCATAGCTAACGCTAACAAGTGGTAACATTAGCTAACCTTAACATTACCATTAACTTAACTGTTCATGTTGCTCGTTTTTGCTGGTCCTTAAAAACCTCAGCTCAGTGAACATAATGCGTCTAACAGGAATATATCTAATGCTGACATACATTTGACAAGATTTAATTATCTTTTACCTTCTGGAGAGCTCTCCAAACATTTCAGGGCTTTAGCAAAGCTAACACTAACGAGTGATAACGCTAACCTTGACTTTGACATTGACTAATTCATGTTGCTCGATGTTACTGGCAGATAAAAACCTCAGTCAAAATAATGCGCCTAACGTGACTATGTCTGTTTCTGACCAACATATGACAAAGTTGTATTACCTTTAAAAAAATGGCGCACTCCGTGAAGTTTTTTCAAAGAGCTGCTCCTGGTAGGCCGAGTTTCTAGACAAAACATGACAACTTCCTTTGCTCTTAACATGACTGAGACTTAAAAATTAAACATCCCTCAAGAATAATTCTACATGTTCAGAGAAGGAACTTAAATCAGTTGTGTCAAGTTATACGAACTGTACATTTGTAAAGTGAACAACCCCCATTTTCTCCTTTTTCAGTGGGGAGTACCTGACAACAGCCTTATCCATGAATATTGAAACAGATTTTAACTTGAAACTGCGAGCTA